TCCCTCCCACGCGGCTTGGATCCAACCCGCAGAGGCAACTCCCAGCCATGTCCGATCTCCACCCCCACCATCGGGAGCAGCGGGAGAAGCCGCCCGGTGCTGAGCTCTTCCATCGCTCTCCTCTGTTGCCGTGCTGTTTAATTAACCAACACAGGGCCCAGTGTGTCATTAAGTCACATCAGATCTTCATCTCATCCTCCAGTTCTCCCCATCCTGTCCCCAGGAGCAAAAGCTTGTGCCCAGTTCTGATGAAATAGCTAGTCATTCTCTTGTGCATCTTGGAAGCAGTGCAGTTATTATGATAATTCCCAGCCATGGTTATTTAATATACAGATATGCACACATCAGGCAAAATGTCCCCATGTTATATAAACCTGATTCCCCCCCCCCATTAGATATACTATGGGAAGCAGAAAGTAACAGATTCTGCCTTTCTTCTCCACAGCCCGAAGCAAAAGAACATGTTGAACTCCCCCCCCTTAGTGCTCCATTCACTTCAGCAAATCAGGATGGCTCTGCTGCCCCCTTCCCACTGCCCCTGTTGCTTAGCTTACCTGCTCCTGCTGCCGTGCCACCACCACCACTATGCCATACTATGAGGCAGTGACTGCACTCCTTGCAAGGAAGCTGGCCACTGCCTCTGAGCATGTACCTGCCTCCCGCTAATCAAGGCGATCAGCTGAGGGTTGGGCACATGCTCAGAGGCAGGGCCCTGGCTGCCCTGCAAGGAGTCCAGTCACTGCCTCAGAGCACGGCACCTGAGGAGGAGGAAGAGGAGGAGGAGGCACCACAGGAGCCCCCACCAACCAGGCATGAACAGAAAACGAAATCACAAACTAGCTTGGTTTTCTGGTCAGTTCATGGTGGGTTGTGGTTCATGGCTAACCACAAAACATGAGCTGTCACAAGCCATTGTCTTTCAGGTTCATGCCCACCTCTAGTCATATACATCAAGGAAAATATTGATTTCTATTTCAGTACTTCAGATTCACAAATCATCAAAAAAATCTCTTAGGTCCTACTTTCACTTCAGAGGAATTATACCAGTCCCTTTCTCATATTAAGGTAACAAATTTCAGGGTATGGGCAGTTAATAGTTTTATTTACTCAAGGAATTCTCCCTGATTGTTTTTCTAAGTTTTTCCCATTGGGGAACTCATTTGAAAGTCTGGTTGAACTGAGTTCAATATGCTGTACCTGTCATTTCCCTAATTCTTGGCGGATTACTCAATGGCTGATGTTTGAAGGGAGTTCAAGGACAGATGGGGGCTGTTAATTAATTCAAGCATGATGAGGATACTGTGGATAAGTCTAAGAGTACTTTTGGGAGACCTCTTAGATTTGACACTACAGTACTTTGCCAGCAATGCCCTTCTGCACTCTACAAATAGGACAATTTCTACACAAGAGAATTAATGGAGATAAATCTGACATCAGGAACTTTTAAAGGAGAGATCTGTGCAATGTTACAGAGTTACTGTTTTTTTCAAATATGACACTATATTTAAAGTAGAAGGGTCATTGTCTATTTATGGCAAGCTAAATAACGTGGCTTCAAACAAGAGAGTGTTGGTTTTATTTTAAATATATATTTGTCATTTCTGAAATTTAGTAAACCCAAAAAATGACAAAACTGAGCCAAACAAGCAAAATAATTAGAGGAGTTCACCCCTTCGGCATAAAGAACTTGGGGGAAAATGTACACTTTCCTTTTTTGGTAACCAAGCTATGTTTAAGTGTCATATTTCAAGACTTTTTACCCTTTAATGACTAAAAAGACAAGCAGAAATGCATGCTCTCCTGTTCCAGATCCTTTTATGCCTGATTCCTTTCTTTAACAAGACAAAGGCTGTTAAATCCTGAACAAGTCCTGCTGCATAGAAAGACAACCAGAATAGATAAAGTGCTACCAGACAAACACGATCTTTGAGTAAGAAAGTGACAACTTTGGGGGTGCTTTTTCTGAAAGCTTAGCTAGGTATGTAAGCTCTACCTTAATAAATCTGCATTGAAATAAAGATGGGGGAATGTTTATAGCAAAATAAAAATTAAATTATCTGCAAATGATTCCTAGGTTCTATGAAAATAGTCCTGTTTTCTTTACTTATGTAAGCATATTGTGTGCAGCTTCCAGCTGCGCCTTGTCAGCCTAAGGACCTAAAGTATTGTGCTGCTTTCCATTTTCTCAACGTGAAGTTTGTACTATTCTCAACAGCTTTATTAGCAGAATCTCTACACACAGGACAGAACAGAGCTTTGTCCCCAGGAAAGGAATTATTTCAGACCCTAAGGAGCCATCTAATATGTTTCAACGTAATTCTACTGCTGCTTTCTTTATTTTAAAGACAGCAGCATAGATTTCTTTCTTTTGCAGCTGGAGATTAAATAAACCAAGCAGAATCAACTCTTAGATTAGATTCCAGGTAATATATATATTTACATTTTAAATTATTGCTTAAAGTCTAGTAGTTGAATTATTGTGTTTATCAGTTGCAAAAACTGCAGTTGTGCTGGTAAGTTTATAACATTATTTTTTATATATCTTAGAGAATAAATTGAAAATGTACAGTATTTGCATAAAGTATAGTGCATTCAGTATTATTAATTTTAATTATTATGAATAGTACCATTAACACTTTAAAAAGGTTATAAGCATTGCTAATTTTTATTCAGAATAAGTATCCAGTTGACGTTGTTTTAACAATCAATATGCAGTTTAATCCACTTCTGTGAAATTATGACATAAACTAAAATAAACAGAGTATATTGTTAAAAATCAAATCTCATTCCTTAGTAGATTCTGTACAGGATTTTTGTTTTTAAAGCAGTCCATCTGGAAATGTTGATTTAATGGAATAATTTATGTAAACAACAGGACTTGTGATGAAGGATAAACCGAATATATTTAACCATTGTCACTATCCTTTTGGCAAAAGAGAATGATAAAGAACTCACAATGCAATATTATGTACCTGCAAAAGTATCATGTTTCCTGAAATACTGCATACATACTGGTATGAGCAACATATGTGTGCACTGTGGGCCAGGGCAGATGTTACTTCCTTAATGAGATTACGCTTAACATGTGGTCAGCCACAACTGCTCACCCCACCCCATCCCTTTCCTGAACAGAAAATAAAGTTTGATTAAGCAGATTATTATATTTATCTCTATTAATCAAATGTAATTAAGCATACAACATCATAATAATGACTACTGGCACAATGGCTAAACTGTGCCTTGTGGTGCAGTGGTTAAACTGCAATACCTAAGTCAAAGCCTCTGCTCATGACCCCAGATTCAACCCCAATGGGCTCAAGTAGCTCAAGGTTGACTCAGCCAATCTAAGGTTGGTAAATTGAGTACCCAGTTCACTGGGGGGGGGATGGGTAGCCTAATTCAATTGTCTATCACCCAGAGAGTTCTTTAAGGGCTATGAGGCAGCATATAAGCAACCCCTATATTTCATGTGAGTACAATGTACTGTATTGGGTTCAAAGAAAAAAAAAAGCTAAATATTTGTCAAGAAATGCAGAAGCCTGGTCAGCTCCCTCTTTTACTTTGACCAGGTACTGATAATAACCATGTTCCATAGAAAAATATCCATATATCTGGACATGTCCAGTAAGGTAGCACTTCGTGTGCCTTTTGTGTTAAAGTTGTGAAAAAAAAACTTTCCATTACCCCTGCCCCTGCAGAAAAAAGTACCCAACTCCATCCGTTACGTTTGAATATGACATCAGAGTGTTGCCATGGGAGTACCACGCTTGACTAAAATGTAAGGAAGAAAAATTAAAATGTAAAGTGGGGTAAGGTGCAAGACTATCACAAAAGTTATAACCTCTTTCTGTTTTCAGATATTTTAAACAAGTACTATATTTTCTGTTGTAATCTTTCAACTCAATTTCTAAGATGATCAAGAGAACAACTAACAATTAAAATTATATAAAAACAACACAGAAAGCTGCGTGGTCCTCAAATCAATTTTGACTTATGGCAACTCTTTTCAAAGTTTTATAGGTAAAGAAAACTCAGGAGTGGCTTACTATTCCCTTCTTCTGGGGGCACCCTGGGTCTGTGCTGCTTGCCCAAGGCCACACAGGCTGGCTTTTCTCCCAGGAGGCACAAGGAGGAATCAAACTCCCAACCTTTGGCTCTATAACCAGATACCTAAATCACTGAGCTATCCAGCCACATCCTTTACACAATAGAAGTACTGTATAGAAGGGGTGATATCTTTTTTAGAAGACTAAAAATGAAACATTCAGTGTTAGCCTTTGTGAATAAATTAACTGCCTCAGGCATGCATCAATATCTTGTGGAAAGTAAAGAAAAATATATAAATAAGTTACCATGCCAATTGGATTATATTTATTTCAGAATAATTTATATACATTATATTATCTAAGGCAAATATGAACAACTGGAGAGACGATAAATACGTTCACTTGCTGCTGAAAAGAAGTCAAACCTCCTGAGACAATAATCTATAATTCCAAGGACCACCCAAAAGACTTTGTTCCTTATGGAGGAGAATGAGACATTCATTGGAACTTGTATCAGGCCATTTGCTTTTCTTAAATGTGACATTTTACATAATCCTGTAGGCCAAATAGTATTTTAAGCTGAATGATTAATATATGTTTATAGTCTATTTTTATATCACTGTGATGTTTGTGCTGCTATTATTTAACGCTGCTATTTTTATCTTATTTTGTTGTGAACTGCCCAGAGTGGTCTAAGCAGCCAGATGGGCGGTATACAAATTAAATAAATAAATAAATAGTTGTTGTGGTTTTTTTTTTGGGCTCTTTGGCCATGTTCTGAAGGTTGCTCTTCCTAACGTTTCGCCAGTTTCTGTGGCTGGCCAATTCAGAGGACAGTACTCCTCTATAAACAAACAAACAAACAAACAAACACTCTCATCCAGTTACACTGACGTAACAGCATAACTTTTGGAAGTGAATTCCCTTAAGAAATCACAACAGACACTGTCTGTTGCATACCAAGTTGTGTAACTGAGACTGCAACTGAAAATTTCTATGGTGGCGTCTTACCTTGGGCCAATTTGCCTCTAAAGGTTATGCTATTTGCACAGCTACAGAGGAGGATATTAGCCTATATTTTACATTTTCTGAAAGGGCATTAACCTTTAACCCCTCCCCAACTTTTTCCATGTTCTGTCATAGGATACAGCATTACAAGGATAAAATGCAAAAAAAGGTGCTATTCTATTATCTGCTGATTTATTCACTGTGTATTGCTCTTGCTCAAAATGAACACAATGGAAGGCCTATGGCAAAGAGGAGAATGCGCTATAGAGGATTAAGAAGGGGCTCCACAGGATACCGTAGACTAAACAAGCAGCCCCAAATCAAACCCTCAGTCCGTACAACCCCAATACCAAGCATTCCATTTATTAATATTGATGGTGATATTACTGGAATAGTTGACTCTTTTATTGGTCTGGATGGACAAGAGTCAAGTTACAATATTTTACCAGGTAAGCCAAGGAAATTTACTTTTTATTTTCCTAGCTGTCCATCTGTTTTTCATTTAACTCTGTGTACCATATATGGTTTTTGTCCATTATACAGAAGCATTACAAGCCTGGCAATCAATGCTTTTTGGCTCCATAGGAACGTATCTTAGAGTGGTTTATTTATTAAGCTATTTTTAATGAGTTCAGAGTAATCTTTTGAATATTGTATGTCCCATACAATTGGGACAATGCAGAAGAATACTTTTTTCAGAGAAATGATTATTTCAGGCAAAATAAGGGGGTGTGAACCAAGACACAACAATGAAGTATTGTAGATAAGTAGCTGTACCATTAAGGTTGTAGTATTTCCAGTAAGGTTGTAAGAAGTTGTAAGTGAAGTTAGGTGAAAGCAGGAACATTTTCCAAGTACCGTATTTTTCTGTGTAAAAGATGATACTTTTGTCTAAAATCTTTATAGTACTAAAAACTGAGGGCCGTCTTATACACAGAAGCAAGCTGAGGAGAGAAAAAAACAAGTGGAGGGAAAAGGGGTCAAAGTGATCCTGCAGTGCTTTGATTCCTGCTTTCCCCTCCACTTGCTGTTTACATTTCTTAATTTTGGGTTAGAGTAGGGGGGAGGCATCTTATACACTGAAAACTATGGTAACTTGACATCCTACTGACATTCTTGTATTAGAGACCCTCTTCTCAGATCTGATGATACTGAACATACAATGGTGCCTCGCATTACGACGTTAATTCGTTCCAGCGAAGTTATTGTAGAACGAAAACGTCATAATGCGAAAATTGAAACGCATTGAAACCCCTTCAATGGGTTCCAATGGACTGGAAACTCACCGTCCAGCGAAGATCCTCCATAGGGTGGCCATTTTCGGTGCCTGTGCAGCGAGGAATCCGTGCCAGAAAACAGGAGGGAGCCATTTTATTTACCTGACGGCCACTTTGAAACCGCCAATCAGCTGTCCCTTGATGGCCATTCTGAACCCGCCAATCAGCTGTCCAAAAATCGTTGTTTTGCGAAAAATTGGTTCCTGAAGCAGGGAACCGATCATCGCAAAGCGCAAAACCCCTATTCAGACCATCGTTGATTACAAATCATGCTTAGAGCAGAATGATGCTTGCTTACCATTAGCCATGATTAACATTGATGTTGTCATAGCCCTTGATCATATTTATAGATGACAAAGGGAATCCAGACATGAGAGGAGGAAACACCTGCTCCTACAGCTTACTCTGAATCTCACAACCATGATTATGGATCAGGTACCAGCTATTCAACAAGAGATAAACTGAGCTGATTTTTTTTTATTCTGATGGGTAGCTTTACAAGAAATATCACATGAAGATGCTGATTTCATGTTACAGGAAGGCATCCAATAACATAAGACATCTTGAGCCTGTGGGTACCAAGAGGAGGTCTTGCTAAACAGCCCAGCACTGATGTACAGAATGGTAGGCAGTAATTTCTGAAAGACAATTCAAATAGAAAGGAACAAACCAGACAAACCTTTAAATATTTTCTAGTATTTCTATATGAACAGGAAGTTTGGGATCTTCTAGGATTGTTGGATGGAGATTAAAATAATTTACTTGGATTGGGAACAAGACTGAGCATATAGGCAGAGTCTATTGCTATAATTCTCTGTAGCTCATTTGGTGCTACCACATTTTAAATTTTGCCTTAAATGGAATATCTGGCTGTGCACTTACAGATATGTAGAACAGAACTATAATACTGTAGCAGGAAGCAATTGCCACTTTCATTTACATATTATATTTTAATATGTCACAATATCACATCTTTCTATGCATATCCACAACATCTTAAAATATATCTTAAAATCCAATCTATGGTGTTCCCATTTTTAACACCACTAGCATTCAACATTTTTAACGCCAATAATTAGGAGTCTAAAAAGCAAAGCATGCTGCTTATATACTGTCCCACAGCACTTAAAGTACTCTCTGGGCGGTTTACAAGTTAATTATGCAGGCTACATATTGCCCCTCCCACCCGTGAGCTAGGTACTCATTTTACCGACCTCAGAAAGATAGAAGGCTGAGTCAACCTTGAGCCAACTACCTGGGATTGAACCTCGGGTCATGAGCATAGTTTTGGCTGCTGTACAGAAGGTTAACCACTGAGCCACAAGGCTCCTAAGATAAAAACATATTAAGACAAACTAAGACTGAAATTCTGTAGATGTTCACCAAGTAAAACTCTCTTCACTGCCTACTTAGAAAGAGGAATTGTTAACTTCTGAGTTTATATCATGCCTCCTTCTGTTTTTCTGATATTAAGCTACCTCAGACTAAATCCAGAGTACATTCTGAAAAATATTTCTCTTAATTTAAAATGTGAGTAAAAGGCTGAAGTTTCAATAAATTCCACCCATTAAACAAAAATTTGGAACAGAAGGATATAGACTTAGAGAAGCCAGAAAATATTTGCTATCCAAAAATGAAAACCTTTTCCAGAAATACTGTTTTCCTTTTAATTATGCACTGAGAACTTGCTTAGACTGAGGAATATTAATTGGTCCAAGGTTAGCCAATGAACCTTATGGCTGAGTATTTGGCCATGGGCTTCCTAAGCTTTAGCAGCCTTGGGTCCTTTTAAGGAGAAAAGGAGGGTAAAAATAAAATAAAATAAAAAAATTCTGAGATTGAAACCACTACAGTATACTAGTTTTTGCATGCTGGATAGTGTTGCATAGCATCCCTGTTACATGTGGTACATGTGGTCTTGACACTGAAATGGGAAGCCTTCACTGACCTGTGTGTATGAACTTCCACAGAAACTTGTGTCTTGTTGCTAAAATCACAGAACGGCCATAGTAAACTGTCATTTTATTTTACACATTTAAAAATTTCTTTTGCTTTGTTTTCTGTTCATTAGGAAAGGAAGGACGCTGTTTTGCAAATGGAATGATTATGTATGACAAGGCTGTGTGGTCTCCTAAGCCTTGTATGACATGCCTCTGCTCAAAAGGAAGGGTGTTATGTGACGAAACCTCATGCCCTCCTCTAATGTGTCACAGACCCAAGATACCTGAAGGAGAGTGTTGCCCAGTTTGTACAGATATTGGTACAGTATATCACTTTCTCACACATTTGTAACTTAGTATGTACACAAAACACATTTCAATGTAGACAGTGTGTCACATGCAAATCATAAAAGCAGCAGAACCTTTAGTATGAACTTAAGCATTTTCATACTTAAGCAAAGGTTACAGTGAACCCTAAGCACACGGGTCATTGTACCCATAGGTGCTCTCACTACTTATGCTTAACACTGTCTGAGCTACTATTGTCATGGGGCTGTTGCAACTACTCTTCATACTGTCCGTGTGAATGCTACAAGGTACATTTTCTTCCAGTTATCAACTCATCTCTTCATACATTAGCATTTGGAGGCACATTTTATTCCCACTGGCATGTGCCAGAGTCTTGATATGAACAGATAGATATACCGTAAATAAAGCCTCAGTATGAATGAACCTGGCTAAGCCTAAAACCTAGCAACAGTCTTGGCTGGTTTTAAAGGTGAGGTATTTGTATTATATACTGATGTACTGGTATGAACAATATTCATATTTCTCCTGATAAAATGTAGGCTAGCCTTAAAATCTGTCAACAACAAACAGCCTTGTATTATAAACCTATTGTAATGCCTCCCTGGTGTCCCATTTTGTAAAACGTGTTGTGAGCTTTCCAAGTGTTTTCTGGAAAAGGAAAGGTTAAGCAAATTCTTCAAGCAAATGAGACATGATTACTTGATTTAAAGTTTATTAAACAAAACTTTTTAATACCCAAACCAGCCCATAAGTATTTCAGCCGAAATATTTGATCAGGAGGAAAACATATTTAATATGGCTTAAATATTACATCCAACCAACTGCAGATCTTTTTGTGGGCATTTGTGTCTTTACATTATTACATTATTCAACAATATATAATGTCCTTATTTAATGTATTTAAATGTACAAAAATTGTTGATGGTGTAATTTTCATACAGAAAATGAACTATGCATGATATAGGCCAAAATCCTTTTGAGGCAGTTATGCTTTACTGGCAGGGGGAGAATTCTGCTGATTAAAGAGTTCCTACTTCTACTCCACCACTTATCCAACTCGCATGCAGTTAGTCTCATTGCATACAAGCTGTAGGAGCCCTGAAACAGAAGGAACAACTCTTTAATTATTGACCATCTCCCCTTACTTATCACTTATGCAACAGAATTTTGACAACTGTGTGATAATCCACTCATTTGTTTTCAAAAGAATGTAACTCATTGTCACTGAGGTCAGTGAGGCACCTCTGAAAAGAAAAAATTAGAAAAATTAAGCATTAGAAACTGCTTGATAGGAAAATGTCCATCTCATGTTACTGCATGAAGATCATTAGAAATCATACAATATGAAAATGGCAACTTGCATTAGTCTTTTTGACATCTATAAAATGAAAGTAGGAAATAAACATGATAATGGTGGTGGTAGTGGGGATACTTCAGTTACATACCACCCTTTCTTCCATGGGAGATAATCGTAACAAATAATGTGCATAATAACTAAAAAGTCTGAAAAATAACATGAAAAAAGATAACATTATACACTGTACATAAGTGCAAAGCAATCAAGTTCTGTGTACAAATTACATGATGAAATCCTGAATAAGGCCTTTCCCCTTAGTTGTTGTCTAAAACTCAACAGAATAGAGGCCAAAGGTAATTCTTTGAGGAAAGAATTCCACTTAATGCAGCTGCTGAGAAAGGTCTCCCCTCCCCACAAATTACCACACCATAGGCAGCCAGTACAGTGTACTGGGAATTGATATGACACTGTCCCACTTAGTTGCCCTATGCAACAATCTGGTAGCTGCACTCTGCATCACCTGCCACTTCAAGAATATCTACAAAGGCAGTACACATACAGTGTATTGTAGTAATGTAATGATCAGATATGAGGAATAATATGCACGCTGCATTTGAAAATGTTGGTGCACGTCATGTCCTAATTTGCAATTAATAAAAGAAACATCATTACAAAGCAACTGGCACATGACTTTATTTATTCCCAATAGTTTTTACTCCAGATTTAACATAAGAGCACTGAAATTCTTAGCCATCAGATGCAGGCAATTTTTGCAATCAAAAGCCATGCATTTTAACTAGATCTCTTAAAACTTTTGTTTTGAACCTTAGTATAACTATGTTACAGAAAGTAACTACTACACCTATGAAAACAAGGGGCTTGAAGAAACAAACATGAGCTGATCTAGTAAAATCAAACACGAATAGAAATTTTATAAATATATATACATTTAAAAACATACAGAGACAAACTGTTTATCTCTAACAAAACTACTGAAAAGATAAATCACTCTGAATACCTTTTAACCTTTGCACTTCTATATTTAATATTCATCACTCTTACAAGTTCTTTTCTCTCATACATGAATAATTACTATATTTCAGCAGATATATTAATGCTTAATACTAAAAACTGTATTATTACTTCTCTTTATATTGCCATCAACTGTGTCTTCACGTGCATCACCCTGATGTCCTTACATTCCAGTACTAAATAGCATTTCACTAGATGACAAATCTGAATTTTCTGGTGATTCTCCAGCACCCAGCAACCCTAGAGATTTGTTGCTACATGATATACAGACACAAGTTAAAAGGGGTCAAAAGAAAGAAAAACTACTTGAAAAGAAAGGAGATAATACAATAAACAAGAACAGGAAGAAGAAAAAAATAAAAAGCCACAAACAACGGAGAAAACAAGGACACACAAACAACCAGACAGAAGAAGAGAAGAAAATGAAAGCAGAGGAAGAGAAAAGGAGAGCATATGAAGAAGAAGAAATAAGAATTGAAAAAGAACTCAAGAAAGAGGAAGAAAAGGAAGAGCAAGAGAATGAAAACAATGAAGAAAGTGAGGAAGAGGAAGAAGATATTTTGCGCGGTGATGTATTCAGAATGCCCCCACGTTTCCCGATTCCTGAACCTTCTGCTGAAATTCCTCCATTGCCAACTGGGTGCTCCATCTTGGACAACACAGTAAGCTGCATTAATGCCAAGCTGACACAAATACCTCCAATAATGGATAAAGAACTTACAAGCATAGAGCTTGTAGGTAAGGAAAAAGTCTGCCTACAATTTAAAATATTTCTTAGTTGCCCTTCCCCTGATGGATTCTACAGGGTAGTCATTAATAATATTAATTGTGCCGAAATAAATGCATTATGATACTAATTAGGAGTGTTTAGAACAAATAAGAAGCAGGTATAATACCCAAGAAAGGTCTCTGTAGAAAAACGTGACAAGTTGATTTCCTATCAATTTAACCAATGTTCAAAAGCTCCCTGTGTTAATGTTACTCTTACTATGGCAGACCTTGTTCTTTTGGTGAAGATTAATGGTGGGATGGAAACAATGTGGTATAATTTGATCTGCTATTTCAAATCCTTCCACACTGAAAAAGTGGCATGGAGAATAAGCTTTGTCCCTCTGTAGAAGAAGAATTAGATAAAATGTTCAGTAACGTCTCCTTGCGGTACTGAAAGATTGTGCAGTAAAACTGTAGACAAGATTTAAACTAATCAGGAAGACTTAATAAGTAGAGGTAAAATTTTCAAAATTCCTGTAGCTAATACATATTTTTCTTTTCTTAGAGAATGCTATAACTTCCATTCCGGATGGAGCTTTTAATGGAATTCCTAATTTGGAAAGGATTGATCTTCGTAAAAATAATATCACCTTATCTGGCATAGGGCTGCATGCATTTAAGGTAAGAAAATCTTGGTTTTAACTTGCAATAACATGGCACTGTACCCAGTGTAGTAATGTTTTGTAATAGAACTTAATTCATATTGCACAGTTTAATATTATTTTAAATTGTTGTTCTGTACCATCAAGTCAGAACTGACTTGTAGTGAGCCTAATAGGGATTTCAAGATAAGTGAGATATTTGAGAGATGTTTTTACCAGTTCCACATTCCCTATGAGTCTCCATGGCTGAGCAGGGATTCGAAACCAGGCCTCCTGAGTCCTAGTCTGTCACTGTATCCACTATACCACACTGGGTATTATAAACTACTGCCTTTACATGATATTTTGCCCTTTTCCTAATCAATCCCATTACATACATGTCATAGAAAACAGAGAGGAAAAAAAGAAATGCACACAACTTCTCTGCTGAAATACAGCGGGAGGGATCAGTTCCACAAGCTGGATACCTGAAAACTGTGGATATAACAACCATATAAATACAACATACAAGACAGAGGGACAAAGGCAACAACAGGGCACACTTGTATGTTGTATATTGGGCTGCAGTAGACTATGGTCAAGTGAAACCATGGATACTGGTCCCATGGATATGAGGGTCCTACTGTAAATGAATCCTTAAGGAACTTAACTTAACAATGACCAAAGATTAAACCCATGCTGGGACAGCTTCCTGTCCATCCTGGGACTGTCTGGCTGCCAGTGTTGTTCTTGTCAGGGGAGTGGAGACAGCACTGAAACGATTCCATTTTTGCTGCACATCAACCTTGCTGCTCTCAGCACTGGTAGAAAGCTGCTAGCCCAGTGGCTGGCCTGGCAGTGGCGTCATGCCCTGCTTTAAAGCAAAGAATCGCCTTGACCTGTAAATCAAGTGGTTTTATACTTGTTTTCAGATGGCCAGGGTTACTGCAGGTATCTAAAATGTGTAGTTCTTGGCAATATAGCTGCAGCACTAATCACTATCCATACTTTCTATACTAAAGACAATTTAGGCAATATAGGCTACATTTGTAATGCAGTCAATGGTAACACACAGCATGTGGTGCTAGAATACATAAACATTAAGTTAAATAGCGCCCCTAACTACAAAAAGGTCAAAAAGGAGGAACCTGGGAACTACAAGCCAGTCAGCCTGACAGATTATAAAGCGTATGTAAACACCTAAAAAACAAAGCAGTAATAACTAGAAGTCAACAGGGAGCTGTCACGGACAAATCCTGCCGGACATCTGATCTTATTTTTTGATTGGGTAACGTCCCTAATAGAATAGAGGGAATGCTGTAGACATAGTCCAAGTTCATATCTTGACTTCACCATTTGGCAAAATGTCCCATGATGTTCTGATTAGCAAGCTAACTAGGAGTGGGCTGAATTGAACGAATATCAGGTGGATACACAATTGGCTACAGAATCTTAGTCAGAGGGTGATGATTAATGGCTCCTTCTCAAACTGGGAGGAGGTTACAAGTGGGGTACCCCAGGGATCAGTCCTGGGCGCAGGGCTATTCAATATTTTTATTAATGACCTGGATCAGGGGATACAGGGAATGCTAATCAGATTTATGGATGACACAAAATTGGGTGCAACAGCTAATAACCTGGAAGACAAACGAAATTCAAAATGATCTAGATAGGCTTAATCACTGGACTGAAAACAACAGAACGAAATTCAACAGGGATAAGTACAAAGTACGGCACCTAGGAAAAAGAAACTAAACACACAGTTAAAAGATGGGGAATACCTGGCTCAGCAATACTGTCAGAAAGATCTTGGAATCGTCGTAGGTCACTAACTGTATATGAGCCAAAAGTATGATGTGGCTACAAAAATAAGGCAAATGACATTTTAGGATGCATTAATAGAAATAAAGTCTCCAAATCCTGTGAGGCTCTAGTTCCCCTCTATTCAGCACTGGTTAGGGATCATCTTGAGTTCTGTGTCCAGTTCTAGATACCATACTTCAAGAATGATGCTAAGAAATTGGAACAGGTTCAGAAGAGGGCAGCAAAGATAATCAGGAGGCTGGAAACCAAGCCCTCTGAGGAAGGACTGAAATAATTGGTCATGTCTAGCCTTGAGAAAAGAAGGCTGAGGGGAGATGTAACAGCACTTTTCAAATCCTTGAAAGGCTGTCAGACAGAGGAGGGACCGGGTATGTTCTCTATCATCCCAAAGTGCAGGAAAATGGGCTCAAGTTACAGGAAGCCAGGTGTTGGTTGAATATCAGGAAAAACTTCCTAACTGTTAGAGCAGTACAGCAATGGGAACCAATTACCTCGAGAGGTGGTGAGTGCTTCAACACTGGAGGCACTCAACAAATTTTCGATGGCCTTATAAGCTCTGAGGGACCAGGTGTGTTCTCTATCATCCCAAAGTGCAGGAAAATGGGCTCAAGTTACAGGAAGCCAGGTGTTGGTTGAATATCAGGAAAAACTTCCTAACTGTTAGAGCAGTACAGCAATGGGAACCAATTACCTCGAGAGGTGGTGAGTGCTTCAACACTGGAGGCACTCAACAAATTTTCGATGGCCTTATAAGCTCTTACAACTTCATGATTCTATGATTGTGACACCTTAAATACAAAGTTTAATAATTTGAGGTTTCCTGGACAAGTCTGCTTCTTCAGACTTCCTATTTTGTTTTTTCATATTTTAAAATTTTCTATATCTGAATAATTCAGAACTTGAAGAATCTGCAGCGTTTATATCTGGATGGAAATGAACTAGTTCATATTCCTACTGGTTTGCCACCAACTTTAGAGGAACTTAAAATAAATGAAAACCAACTACATGCAATTGATGAAGACAGCTTTCAAGGTATTTTATAAATATAAATTCAAATAAATGAATTGCACCTTTAAAATGCATAGCAAGAAAAAGAAAAGAGAATTCTGAAGGGTGGTGGGAAGCAACTTTTTTTTGTTATTTAGAAAAGCAAAATATTATTTGTTTCATTAGGATACCGCAGATATGTCTGTCTTTTTAAGCTTAGGGATGTCTTTTAATTCATAAAACCATTCTATATCACAGAGCATGCTGAATTTGCTGCCAGCATCCATGCGAATGTGTTCATAGAATCAGTGGACATAGATTCTGTGAAGGCCCACTTTAAATGTGTGAAACAAACCTCTTGCACTACAGTGTTCTAGATTTAATTGTCCACAAATTGTATTTTTTTTGTATTTTAACAGTATAATTTATAGTGGCATTCCACATTTTACACACTTTTCAAGAGGACAAGCATTGTTTTATGATTAATGTAAAGACAAGTGAAGATGTAGATGCAATCTGGCCTGGGCCACAGTAAGAGGACACGTATTAGCCTACATGCTAATACAGATTCTTGTGGTAAGGGACTGTAGGACTCTTGGTCCAAACCTCTTAAAATCCTCCCCCCTGGTTTGCAATCCTTTTTATTTTTAAAATAAACTCCAATTGCTTATCCCATTAAAGTAAGCGAATTTCCACAAAGGCAAATTCTCTCTTTCCAACAGCAATGGAAAAACACAGCAATGTTCCCAAGCCTCAGACCAAAAGCCACACAGGCCAATGCTTGTTTACCAAAGCGCTGGGAAGTGTCTTACTCCACATTGACCCCTGAAGCCTTAGTGGTCTTCTTCTGAGGATGTCTGATTCTGTGTGAACAGCACAGTTTGAGCTAGTTTAACATAATGCTATGACACCACATTTTAGCCTTTCTAAATGTTCTGGTAACTCTGAAGCAAAAGGATATTCCTGGAAACTGCCAGAAGTATTGTTCCCCTTTAGAACAAAATGCATACACCCTCCATTTCAAACACAAATAATAGTAGATAACAATCACCCCAAATCCATAACATTTAAGATCAAAGTGTGGCTTTTCCAGTTTTTCACACTTCTTTGCAAGAACCTAGTACTGTATTTCCACGTGTATCCAATGGTGGAAAGGGGGAGATTTCCCTTTGGGAAATCTCTGGATTTGCTGACGTCTCTCTTTTAATGTACAGTACTGTTAAAGCCCTCATTCTGTGCTATTTTAAATGAATTTTAATAATGGTAGCTTGTTCTGTTAGGCAAACACTCCACAGATGCTATCAGTGCAGAAAATTAGTTTCTTAAGTTTAGTAGAAACTCAAAACATAGGTCCTTCCTCTTATTCATGATTCCTTGACCGGATATATATCTGTGTTGTGCAAAAGTGTCATATAATGTTGCTATGTAAAGCCAACTGTGTTACAACTGGAACTGTGATCAAAATGTTCATACAAATGGCGTTTCACTAAAACCAAGTCCTGGGTCACAGAGTTTATTACTCAATGTGGACACTATATAAAATATTTAAAAAATATTTACTGCATCTATTGCCTTTCATTTACTGGTCTTCCCAGTGGATTCCATATCTACTTATCTTCAGCTGTGCTGCAGCATCAATTGTTCCAAGACCATTCACTGGAATTTTATTAGGTAAAGGTTCCCCTTGACAGTTAGTCCAGTTGTGTCCGACTCTAGGGGGTGGTGCTCATCCCCGTTTCCAAGCCGTAGAGCCAGCATTTGTCCTTAGACAGTTTCCGTGGTCACATAGCCAGCATGATTAGACACAGAACACCGTTGCCTTCCCACTGTGGTGGTACCTATTTATCTACTCACATTTTTACATGCTTTCGAACGGCTAGGTTGGCGGGAGCTGGGACAAGTGACAGGAGCTCACTCCGTCATGTGGATTCGATCTTACGGCTGCTGGTCTTCAGACCTTGCAGCACAGAGGCTTCTGCAGTTTAACCCGCAGTGCCACCACATCCCTTGGAGTTTTATTAGTTTACTTTATTTTAATTTATTGGCAGAAACCCTCCTGCATAACTTAATTATGTGAGTTCTTGTAATGATTCTTTTATTTTTCTAAAGGTTTAAAAAAGTTGGTGACGTTAGAACTTGAAGGCAACAAACTCAGTGAAGCAAATGTCAGCCCTTTAGCTTTCCAACCTTTGAAGAGCTTGTCATATTTACGCCTTGGGCGAAATAAATTTAGAATTATTCCACAGGGTCTTCCCCATTCTATTGAGGTAAGGCTTCTTTTTGAGATGCTCACTTTTATTTTTCATAATACTTAAGCCACAAAAGACATATATTTATTAGCAACAATTTCAAGAACACGGGAATCAATTCCGGCATATTGCTCCAATTAAATGCATATCAGCCCAGTATAAAGACGCAAGCCTTGAAGTGGTGCACAGATAGCATATACACTTCTTAAGTTTCATTATTTCCACAGAAAGTGATCATCCCAAAATGCTGTTGTGAGCATGCTGGAGTATACTGTATACTGTAACACATACACACTTGGATATGAATCATCCCAAACTGCTGTTGTGAGCATGCTGGAGTATATACTGTAACACATACACACTTGGATATGTTACCTGATGGTTTTTAAATTCTGAAATGAATGTGTTGCACACCTTATTCAAACTGAAGAATGAGCTTATTCATAAGAGCCACTTCTAATGCCATCTTGTTTTGAGGAAGGCAATAAATATCTATTACTTAAATCAGTAATTAGGTTGCTTTTGTAGCAGTTAGAATGGAAATCGTTGTTCACTGCAAAGATTCTGGGAGGCCCATAATTAAAAAATGATTAGATGGACACTGAAAACGCATTGTGGTAGAAAAACTTGGGTAACTAAATCTTGCCTAGTTATGCTGGTGTAACACAAACAGCATAACTTTCGTGGCAAATAGCATTAAGAAATCGTTATAGACATTATCAGTTGCACACTGAGTTGTGTGAATCAGTGTGCAACTGATAATGTCTATGACCATTTTTAAGTTGGAAAATTGCTTTCAAAATATATGCCATTTATGTAGTTAAAGCAAAAAGATTTTAGCCAGAAATTCCTTTGTAAATACCAAGTTCGCAGCATAACTTTTGTGGCAAATAGCATTAAGAAATCGTTATAGACATTATCAGTTGCACACTGAGTTGTGTGAATCAGTGTGCAACTGATAATGTCTATGACCATTTTTAAGTTGGAAAATTGCTTTCAAAATATATGCCATTTATGTAGTTAAAGCAAAAAGATTTTAGCCAGAAATTCCTTTGTAAATACCAAGTTCATATTTGTTATATATATGAATCTATTTATTTTCCCTATAGCTGCAATAAATTGTTATTAAAAGTTCTGTCTTAGAATTTAATTCTAGTCACATGAGAACTTTTCTTAAATATGAAGTATATTTCATACTCATGCTTTGATGTAAGCAATATGATTTATGAACCTGGTTTATTTCTTTATTTCTTTGGCTCAATGTTTTAGTAAAACATTAAATTTAAAAAAGAGCACCATGTCATAGTTAACTGTTCTCAGGAATATAACTCAAGTTTAGAATTGGCAGAATATATAAGGACGAAAATGTGTTCCTTTCATTTTTATTTGGATGTCACATGTTTTAAGCAACGTTGTCCTGAAACAGAAAAGAATGCACAGCAATTTTAAATCACTGATTGTACATTTTAAGAAATTGTTTTTAACCTATCAGTAGTATGCTGCTCACTTATGTCCTTTTCCTACTATGTGTTTATACAGGAATTATACCTTGATAATAATGAAATAGAAGAAATTACAGAAATATGCTTTAACCATACAAAAAATATAAACACAATTGTCCTAAGACACAACAAATTAGAAGAAAGCAGAATAGCTCCTTTGGCATGGATCAATCAGGAGTAAGTGCAAACTTTTTATTTTCATTGTTTTCCTGTTCAACCGATTTACCTGAGTTAACTTGGGAGTTGGTGAGTGCTCCAACACTGGAAGCACTCAAGAAAAACTTAGATAATCACTGGGCAGATATGCTTTGAGCGGGGGTTGGAATTGATGGCCTTGTAGGCCCCTTCCACCTTCACTTTTCTATGATTCTATGATTTAACTATAGATTCCAAGCGCAGTGGAAGACAAAAAAGAGTGTTTTATGCTATGAGTCCTTTCTCCTGTAGTTCAGCTGAAATGCATGCAGGACTTTCTCTTCACTGATGATAATGCTGTTCTTGCCCATTCTGCTGAAGAGCTCCAAAAACTTATGAACTGTTTTAGCAAGGCCTGCCAAGACTTTGGATTATCAATGAGCCGGAAGAAAACACAAATCATGGGCCAGGGCATGGACTCACCTCCCTCTATTATCATCTCTACACAAGAATAGGAGGTTGCTTATGACTTTGTGTACCTTGGCTCAACGATCTCTGACACTCTGTCTCTATATGTCAAGCTGGATAAACACATTGGCAAAGCAGCTACCATGTTCTTTAGACTCACAAAGAGAGTATGGCTTAACACGAAGCTGACGGCATATACCAAGATGCAGGTCTATAGAGCCTGTGTCCTGAGCATACTCATGTACTGCAGTGAGTCCTGGACCTTTGTGCATGGCAGGAGAGGAAGCTGAACACATTCCATATGTGTTGTCTCCGATGCATTTTTGGTATCACCTGGCAGGACAAAGTTCCAAATAGTCCTAGAACAAGCTGGAATTTTTAGCATGTGTACATTACTGAAACAGCAACATCTACGTTGGCTTGGGCATGTCGTATGTGTGCAGGGAAATCGCCCCAGAGGGTGACCACAGCTGTGATACAAGGATATCTGCAAGTGGGATCTGAAGGCCTTAGGAATGGACCTCAACAGATGGGAAACCTTGTCATGTTCCTAGGAGATTCAGCAGGTAAAAGTCCAATAAGCCAGTCCAAGGTCAGAAGTCCAGAAGATACAAAACAGATGCCAAATTGTCAAAGCCAAAGACAAACTGTAGTCAGAAGTCAGAGTCCGAAAGACAAGGATCAAGAGAGCAAGGTTCAAGATAAGCAGGAACGTGGGCGTGAGCCAGAGAATTGACTTGTTGCCTCCAGAAGCTTCCAAGCCTCTGAGTACAAAATATATAGCAGCAACAATCACCTAATTTCTAGGAACATTCCATGCTGTTAAAACTCTTTTAATTGAAATAAAATCAACTGTGGGTCCTGATGGCAATTTTTAGAGTATCTATTTTAATTGTATTTTAATTGTTTTATATTTTTATTGTATTTTTATTATATTTTAATTGTTGTAAGTCGCCCAGAGACCTATAGGTAGAGCGGGCAGCATATAATTTAAACAAACAAACAAACAAACAGACAGACAGACAGATAAACAAACTCTGGGCTGGTCGACCTGATGTTCCTGTGAGAAGCATTCATGTGAGCCTCAACCCTCCGTATTGTGAGTCTCTGCCAAAGCTTATCGCTCACTCTGGCTAGTGGGGGAGCAGAATCTGGCGGTGATTCAGCTTTCTGTGATACTAATTGCCCAGCATTTTCCTCAGCTGTAATTAACCCTTCTGATCCCAGGCTTTCTTCGGCTGAACTCATGACAAACCTTGATATCTGAGCGTTCAGCCTGGAGGCGGGAAGTACAGCATGGCCTCTCCCATTTTGAAGAGAAACTTGTCCAGCAGGCCAAGGCAAAGAGGCAGTCCCGAAACCAGCAAAACCAGGGAGCTGGGCAGGGGACAGATTGCATTTGTCTTCAGTGTGGAAGGGATTGTCACTCTCGAATTGGCCTTCTCAGCCACACTAGATGCTGTTCCAAGGCCTCTATTCAGACCACGTTACCACAGTCTCTCGAGATTGAAGGATGCATACACACCATCTATTAGTAATCTTGTTTTCTTATTCAAAGTGGTCTTTTTAACACTTTAGATTTTGATGGGTCAGTACTCCAAATTACAAAAAAAAACAAAAAAAACTAGTAATCACAGTTGCTAATACAGTCACTGAGAGAGGAAAAAGTTATTCTAAAGCGAATCAGTAAATAAATCATACTGCAATTTGCTAGATGGGTGGTATATAAATTGAATAAACAAATAAATTGAATTCATACAAGTTTTGAATGAGTGAAGATGGGAAAAATAAGATGTTTGGGTCTGTGAATACGCTCATGAATTTTATTTTCGGTATACAGTCCAGAAGAATCTATCAGTGTCTGGAAAATGATCTTTATGTTAAAAAAAGTGTGGGGAATAGCTGTGGGAAAAGAGTAGGTGGTAGGAAAAAAACTGTCTTTAATGTGAGCTTGTTTTGGGGAAAGTTAAATGGTTGTTAATGGAAAATGGCTTGCTGACACTTCTCTGCCTACAGCCTTATCCTTGTATTAATTAACTCATAGCAGGAACTCTCTGTTACAGGACCACATATATTGGTGGTAAAAAAAAAATACCATCACGCAACTTGATGAATTCAATATTCTTCCTTAGAGCTCTGAAGAGTTACTACTAGTTCTTTAAGACTAGAAGGCTATGTGCCAAGACATGCCCCCTCTCTCTTCCTGATAGGGAAAAAGTAGCATGACTATATTTTGCAGTTTACATACCAGGGGTCACCAAAACGTCCAGTTCTGCCTTTAAGCCCTGTTTCATGCATAATGGGAGGCTAAAGCACCTTCTTGCATAACATCAAAATTTTGCATCTGAATACATCAGAAGAACAAAGAAGAAGCTGAAGCCTTTCCTCTGTCCTGTGAAGTTAAGGCTAGAAGGCCTTAAGAGATCCAGATGGACCTGCTGTTAGTTCCAGCTTTTCCCTCCAGAAAATGACAGTGCATGTCACCCATGCCTGCCAGCTATATAAAAGCAAGGGAAAGAGGGGAGTGAGATGGAACTTCAGTGAAAAAGAGGATGCACAAATATCTTTGCTGATCATTTGTCATGCTGATTAAATACAAACACTCCTTTCTATAAAAGGCACCACAGTGTGTCCTGAGTGCTTGCTGTTATTTTGTTAGATAACTGTGTGCTTCAATCTTCCTTGATGGCTTTTTTAGAATGACTGTTAGTTTGTATCAACATAACATCAGTTTGGCTTGTGCTCTTACTTCTGTATTTCTTTTTCTCTCTCTTTATTTTAGGAACTTGGAATCTATTGACCTTTCTTATAATAAGTTATATCATGTTCCATCCTATCTGCCAAAGTCATTAGTGCATCTTGTACTTATAGGGAACCAAATTGACAGAATTCCAGGATTTGTTTTTGGACACATGAGACCAGGACTGCAGTATCTTTACCTTTCATTCAACAAACTTGATGATGATGGAATTGACCCTGTGTCATTCTATGGGGCATACCAGTCTCTTAGAGAAGTATTCTTAGATCACAACCAGTTGAAATCTGTGCCACTTGGAATTGCAGAAATGAGGTCATTAAATTTTCTAAGGCTCAACAACAATAAAATAAGGTAATTAAGCTACTTACAAATTGAAAATGCAGTAACTCATAAAGCACAATAGGATTTTTCTAATATAATATTTCATTGATGTATATCAAAGTTTATCGAATTTCTGTATGGCTTTTACAGAACAGTCCCTCCAGAGCGAATATGTAGAATAAGGGCGGCTAATGAGGAGGAGGAAGAGGAAGAAGACGACGACCATGAGGAATATAATGATTATGAAGATTCACAGTTAGAACACCTTCATCTGGAATACAATCATATAAATACAAGGGAACTTTCTCCATATGCTTTTTCATGTGTCAGATCATATTCTAGTGTGATTTTGAAACCTCAGAAGATCAAGTAAATGGACTGGCTTCCATCAAAAAATATGTAAATAAAATACTTAGAATATTTGTTCTTCATTAGTAATTAAACCAAATAAAAATTATAAAAGATATCTGAGCCACTATTATTGCTCAGTTTCACTTGTAGCCTAATTCTCTTTCCAAGTAAGATAAATGTCACATATTAAGATCCATTTAAATTTCAGTGTTGTAGGGTGCACAATAAATCATGTTTTTATTGAACTTCTGATTAATTTTAAATAGCTTCCTTGATCAAGACATTTAAAGTGATGAACTATAGTACTACAGACACTTCTAAAACTGTATAAGAACTTGGATTTCCAAATAAGCAGAAAATACTGTAAGTTTTACATGGAATTTAATATTGTACCAAATAATACTGTACCATATATATGTATTTCTTCTATGTGGTTTCTCTCTATGTACACACATGTACACATTCCTGTTGTTAATTAAAACAAATGAAGGTTACTAATTGGAATTGCATTTTTAAAAAGATTGGTTCATTTTAATATTGCAAATTACAAATTCAAACATCAATTTTTTTTGTTTTTTGGAAGAAGCATTTGTTTTGGTTTCAATTTAGGTACCTGTTTAAAATGTTTGTAGTAAGCAAACATTTGAAGCTTAAAGCCACGTAGTGTATGTTCTCTTACTGTCACATTACTTTCATTTTATCTTTTGTATGGTTAACATGTATTTGCACATTTAATTTTAAAAAAACAGATAATAAAATAAAGCAATAAGATATGGACACCTCTGTTAAGAAATGTGCTCTATCGAGTAGTGATTATGCGGTATAACTCCAAAAATGTGTTGCTTACAAAAGCAGCCATGTCTGATGATATAGCATATATGTGAAAGCAGGTTTTTAAGAATACAGTGGACCCTTGACTTACAGACTTTTTGAGTTACAGACTTCTCTGGCCGCAAAATTTAGGTTTGACTTGCAGCCTGAGAATTGACTTACAGACCAGAAAAAAACCAAAATGGAACAAAAACGGCCTGTTACGGGATTAATCGGTTTTCAATGCACTGTAGGTCAATGGAGACTTGACTTACAGACTTGTTGACTTGAGAACCGCCTTCCAATACGGATTAAGTTCTCAAGTCAAGACCCCACTGTAGTATCTTCTTGAAGGTGGTGGAGAGATGTTGTAAAACAAAAGAAAGTTAATTACTGGCGTCATGGCAGGAAAAAAGGGGCTCTATCTGAACTGGACTAAAGAAAGCGTCAACATCATAATCTGAAATACTACCTCTTGAAGCCAGGTTGGCTGGGATGATAATGTAAATTTGGTCATGATCATAACTATATTTCTTCTCAGCCTACTCTTCTTGTACTTCATTCAAAAATGCTATAATCGTTAATATTGTGCAAAAACTATGTGACTTCGATTATAATCAAAAGACCCTTTTCTTATCTAGGAAAACCCAAGTACAGTTGCCTCATGGTAGAAAGGGAAACGTCTGGGCTTCTGGCACATCGAATTAGCAAATGTGTCTGCAAAAATCTTCACTTAAAAATAGTTGACACTTGTTTATATCACTTATGTGGTCCCAAACACACATTCTAAAAATACAGAACAAGCACTATAAAAACCCACTTGCAATTACTGTCAAGGTTCCCTGTGGCAATGTAAAACATGTTCAGGAAAAACAAGCTGAATCAGAAAGTCATCTTACCAATCTGTGTTAACTGAGATGATGACAAGAATGAATTACATTACTATGATGTAGTAGCAACATGTTTTTCCCCAGTAATTCACATACCAGATTCTGGAATTCATGGAAAACAGCCATAAAATGATGCAGTTGTTCCAGAATAAACATTCCATTTCCAACTGCGGAAGCTGCTGTTGAAATCATCATGTGTATGTTCTAAAGATTTTTATTGACTTAAGTTTTTCCTAAAAGTAGAGATTAATTCCACATCCATTAGCCCTGTTGTGGCTATTTTCACTGAAGAAAAGAACAGGTAGTTCTATAGTTCAGTGAAGCACTATACAATATTGCACTTTTTTTGGCAAGAAGCCACAAGAAAGCACAGGAAAATTAAGGTAAGGTACATGACAAAGAATTTTGTTTTTAGCACTGTCACTGCCAAATCATATTTTGCTTGATCAACTTCACTATGGATTGAAACACGTTGCTGCTGCCCATAGGGTACCTGAACATTTGCTACAAACAAGCATCAGAGAACATCTTCTGACTTTGCTGGTTTTAACAATGAGGCAATACTCGGACTTGGAGCATTCCACACTCAGTGGTTATCCTTCCCTTCCCAATTTTCTTAGCATTGCTTCCACTCTCACATGAGAAGATTGATTGATTGATTGATTGATTTGATTTCATTTGTACCCCGCCCATCTGGTCTATAAGTCGTGACCCCATGGGCATCTAGATGCCAGGGCACAGGGCACTAGACACTTTTGGGTCTTTCTTAAATGAAGACCCAAAACATGGAAGAGACTCTCTTTTGTGTAATTTATGCTCTTTTGCTAATTGCTGAAAGAGCCTCTAAAGGACAAATGATTTATATTTACAAAAGAAGATACACAAAAACATTCACATTTTCTTTTGAGTTGCCTCTTTTGTGTAAATCTTTCTTTCACCCTTTACTGTCAGATCCCCCCAGTAAAAAATAAATTACTATATCATCTGCAAACAGTAAAAGATAAAATTACTGTATCATCTGAACAGCAGGGATCAGTCTATTCACAAGTTTAGGTGGATGAAAATCAGAGGTTGTCTGGATATGACCCATAGTTCCCATGAGTCAAACTACATTTTATACTGAAACAGCTGCTCCACATCTTAAAATATTATATCATACTGTTGACATGTAGAACCATAACATACTTACAAATGGGTGCTGTCATCAGTGTACCAAATTATCAGTTAGGCCTTAAATATGATTCATTACTTGCTAATATGTAATTTCCTTAAAAAGTTCTGATCTATTATTCCATTTATCTCACCATTTGAAAAACAAGATGATTTGTACAGAACAGTAATAAGGTGGCTAAAATATTAATTTGACAGGATCTAAAAGAAATCACATACAAGCTTTGGTATGTATTATATCATTGACCATTTTGTAAACTGTTTTGAAGTTTAAAAGATACTACTACATCTGTAATATTTTGCATTTTTGCCTTTTATTTCCACTTGTAAATTACCTTAGCAACAAGGCCTTGCTTGAAACTTTGTTTAGTGGCATACATCTTTGTCATTAAGTGTACAAAGAGTGTGAAGTGCAACTAGCTCAGGCTCTTTGACATGCATAATATCATTGTCGTTTAGTCGTGTCTGACTCTTCGTGACCCCATGGACCAGAGCACGCCAGGCCCTCCTATCTTCCACTGCCTCCCGGAGTTGTGTCAAATTCATGTTTAATATACATGCTTATAATTATGTTGTGTGTGTCTACGTATACTGTGATCCAAATCTCAGGAAGTAATGGTACAACATTTCCTGCAAAAAAAGCCTTTAATTGGATGAATGGCTGAATGGGAAAAGCTGGAATTGTTCAAACTCCGGCAGAAAAGTGGCAAGAAAAGACAAATAGCTAGGTTTTGGAAGACATATTGTTATAAATTATAGGTATTTTGTTATATGTGGCTATGGTCCGCATGTTTGTACCCAGAATGTAGGGCTGGGAGAGGTGCTGGGGTTGACTGGAAATGCAGTTGTAATTCAGATGTGCATGACTCAGAAGGAAAAAAATCATAAGAATATAAGAACACAAGAGCCCTGCTGGATCAGGCCAAGGGTTGATCTAGTCCAGCTTCCTGGATCTCACAGTGGCCCCACCAGATGCTTCTGGAAGCACAGGAGACAACTAGATACCTGTGTCCTGATACCACTCCCCTGGATCTGGCATTTGGAGGCACCTTTCTTTGAAGCCTGGAGATTATACATCCCCATCATGGCTTGTAACTTGCGATGGACCTTTCCTCAGTGCTCATCCCTGTCTCCAGATCATTTATGAACAGGTTGAAAAGCACTGATCCCAGGACAGATCCCTGGGGCAGAACGCTCTTCACCTCTCTCCATTGTGAAAATTGCCCACTGACACATACTCTCTGTTTCTGGTTCTCAACCAATTCTCAGTCCATCAAAGGACCTTTCCTTCTTCTCCCCCGACTGGAGTTTTCTCAGCAGCCTTTGGTAAAGGACCGCATCAAATCCCTTCTGAAAATCTAGATAGACAATATCCACTGGTTCACCTGCATCCACATGCCTGTTGACCTTTCAAAGAATTCTAAAAAGCTTGTGAAGCAAGATTTACCCTTACACAACCCATGCTGATTTTCGTAAGCAACACTGGCCTGTATGCTGTTGTGTAGCTACACCAACACAGCAAGTATGACATGATGGGCTGTAGCACATTGTTGCTAATTAAATAGTTCCTACTATGATTTTGGATTGTGTGCACCTTTGTCTCATTGTTTGCAAGTCATGCATCAACTGAAATCATACCGGGGGTACTTTAATTAACAGCAATCTGCACCATTGATGAAATCACTCTTGCCACACCTATGCAGTTATGAAACAGCACATCTGTCACTGTTCTCTTTCACACTCCACAAATAGATGTGTGTGAATGTGCAGCGGCAGAAACACAAACAAACCTTGCTAATATTGCTGCATTATGTAATAGTGGTTGACTTTCAGTAGACTATCAGGAAAATTTTAAATAGCTGAAAATGAGCTACAGTCATATGAAAAAGAAAATACAGTGGTGCCTCGTATAACGAGTGCACCGTTTAACGACGAATCCGCATACCGATGTGGATTTTGCGATTGCAAAAGCGATCGCATACCGATGGCCCCTATGGGGAAAAATTGCGATTTTTCCCTATAGGCACCATTTCCCCCCAGGTGGGCGGTGCTTGCCTCCGAGCGCCAGCGGTGGACGCTTCCCTGGAGGTTGCTCTGAAGGCAACGCCGCCATCTGGGCGGTGCTG